CAGCTGTATAGACTGTGGTAGAAAATTGTGCTTTTTCTTCTTTCATGTAAATCATGGTGAAGAAAACATGATTGGAAAAGATAATGGAGCCTGAGTTCTTGCTGTCCTTACCTCCCAAACACTGGGCTTGGGATTTTGATTCTTCCCTGGGAGAGTTAATAACATCATTAACACCTAAAACAGTTTTGCAAATACAAAAATATGCTCTGTTTTAGGTTCTGGTGTTGTCATCAACTTTTTCAGAGCAAGCACAGAACCTCTGAGTGTGATTCTTGGCAGATAAAGACAGGACAAACTCATCAGGTGATGAGCTTTAAAATGTAAATCGTCATCTAGGTTCTAAGCAGCAGTGCTTTATTAATTTAGAATCTGAGGAAGTCAAGAGTGTTTTTGAAAATGCTTTTAAACTATCACTTAAAAATGCTCACTGTATAAATATCACATATTTAATTATGTGAATGCAAAGTTAGCTTTACAGCCTCATGTATTTTGGAGTGCAAAAATACTAATAATGAAAAAGCCTTCTTAATTGAAGGTGACTTTTTAAATGAAATTAAGCATTGCATGAAGGTGCTATGAGAGGACTTTTGACGGCTGATCCTATTAAGTTTAGAAAAATAAAAGAAGTTTTTTTCAGTGGCTATTTGAATGTAATTAAGACTCAAATATTTATTGAACAAGAAGGTGTGATATTGTTAATAATATGCCTGGTTCTAAGGGAAAAGCATGTAAAAGTAATTCAGGGTTGAACTTTCTTTTGTTTCCTGTTACCTTGTTCAGCTAACATGATTCATTATAGTAAGTCTTCCTGAGTTGGCATTTATGATGGAAACATTCTGTGCCCTGGTTTCCTGGTTAAATACCACTCATTGCCTTATCTCTTCGTGTCTGAATTGTAGGTGGGAGGAACGGAGAACTGCTTCTGGAAGGATCCAGTATTTAAATCATATTACAAGAACAACTCAGTGGGAACGACCAACACGGTAAGAAGTTGTTTAGGAGACCATGCATATGGTAATGTTTGTCTGCTGACGTGGAACACTGGCCACAAGGAAGTCTAAGTGTCTACCAGGAGGTATTCTGCATTTCAGTCCCTCTGCAAACACGTAGCAAACACGTAGCCCATTTCCACCATCCCTGTCTAATGCACTTCCTTGAAAGGGATGAGATATTATAGATTTCTGAGGCTTATCAAGGCAAGGTGAGGAAGCTTGGGCTATGTGCTGCTCATAAAATAATAATGATTTTACTCTCAGCATTCTCTTTTTTTAGGATGGGAACTGCTCATTGTGAGCGTTTGATGTGACCTTGATCCTGTAACGTCATACAGAGAAGTGTTAGGTCAGACCGTAGGGTAGGTGAAGAGGTTTACTGATTACTCTGGGATGAACTCAGCAAGCACAGGACAGCTGTCTGCCCATCATCAAGGCACCCTGGTCCAGGGCTCGACTGCTCTGTTCTGCAGCCCACAAAGTTTTCTGAGAGCCTTTAGATGAAGCTTTTAGTAACACTGACAGACAAAAGCATATAAAGGACAGTGGGGAGGCCATCTTGCCTGGAAGTGCCACGACTCCTCTCAGATTTCTGCAGGACGGGTTTCAGCAAGCACTCTAGTTGCTTGTCATACATAAATGTCTCTACACCAGCTTTTAATTCATATTATCTGAACTAATGGTGACAAAAATGTTGATTAATTCTGGTACGGAAAGCAAGTAATTTTCATGTTTTTCCCAACAGGCCAGCATCTGAATACTCCAGTCCAGGCAGACCACTGAGCTGTTTTGTGGATGAGAACACTCCAATTACGGGAACAAATGGTGCCACGTGTGGGCAGTCATCAGATCCCCGGCTGGCAGAGAGGAGGGTCAGGTCACAGAGGCACAGGAATTACATGAGCAGGACACACTTGCACACACCTCCTGATTTACCTGAAGGCTATGGTATGTAAATTAGTTAATTTTAGATATTTCAGGTAACTGGGAAAATGGGCTGTGTCTTCTGTGTGTTAAATCACTTTGGGGTAATCAGTCTGTGTGATTTTTTTTGTATTACATATTCTCATATTTATTAATTTGGCTTGATTTCACAGAGCAAAGGACGACTCAGCAAGGTCAGGTATATTTTCTGCATACTCAAACTGGTGTTAGTACGTGGCATGATCCAAGAGTACCAAGGTAAGAAAATGCTGAAAGTATCTTCAAGTTATCGAATCAAAACAGTTCCCAATGCTGTCCTTGGAGCCCTCTGTGCAGTATTTTATTTTTTGCCTGTTGGCCCCTAAAAAAATTATTTGAACAATGATGTTTTAAAATGATATGCAACACCTGGAATCAGTTAATTGTATGAAATTCAGCCAAATCCAGATTTTAATATTATGCAAAGTAATTAAACAAAAAGTAGAACCTGAGTGCTTCCAAAAATGTAGATTTATCTAGGTCCTTCAGATAAAACTAGGTTGTTTTGTATTTTAATTCCATGTTTGAAGTGAATGAGACCTGAGAGATTGGCAGTGTTTGTTTATGGAGAACAAACTGTGTCAAATGTGCTAGACAAATGTGATATTTTTTGATAGGGGAGCAGACAAATGGGAAACCTGGAAAATCTGGTAGATGCCTTGGATGTTTAAGATGCAGTATTTGTAGTGAACTATACCTACAATCAAATTACCTTAAATTGACTTGGCTGTGAGAATTACTGTCCAATATTCAGCCTACCATGTATAATTTACTGAAGGAATGGGAAATGTACTACATTTTCAAGAAACTAATTGGAGATGCTGAGGTACAAGTAGCCTGGAGGCTGAAATGGTGAGCTAGGATGTTTAAAAAAACAAAACTGAGTTTTTTTCCATTTGGGTGTAATAGCAACCATGTCAAAATACAAAAGCTCCTTTTTTATGGCAGGTTTCCTTTCACAGAGTAGAAATGAATGTTTGTTTTGTAGTTGTTTAGCGTGGATATTCTTAGAGCAGTTGTGTATTCTTTCACACTGATAATGAGAAACTTGTAAATTGGGAGTTTTGAGAAGAAAAGAAGTAGAGAATCTGAAAGAGGCTAACCTATGATTAAATATTCAACTGCTATTTCTCATGCAGATATATTACACTTGATAGAAAATAAATCTGAAGAGTTCTTTTACTTTAGTATCTTTTATTTATGTATGCAATTGCATACGTACTCATTGTATGTGATTGTACCCATTTTTATTTCTGATGTGTTTGAGGGAAGGAAGGATAACAGAAAACATTGTTAGTTTCTGGTTGTTCTTTACAAATACCGGCCATGGATTTTAAGAGGCAATAATTTTCAGTGGCTTTTTTTTTTTAAATATGTGCTGTTTGAAGTTGGCAGCCACTCTTGGCCTTGATGAGAATTGTAGCAGCTCCGTCAGTTGCTGCTGGTGCTCATTCTCATGGAAATGGATTTTGGATTTCCTGGGAAGGATTAAAGTGCCTCATAGTTATAACTTCACTGCATTTTCAAATGATTCTTCTAATTGTTTTTAGTACTACTTTTGCTTTATAAAATTATTCTTCATTATGATGCATCATCTTCAGCCTTGAGAGTGCAACAGAGCTGACAGTTGTGCATTAGGAAGGTTTTGTTCACATGATTTGCGTAGCATATAAAAGTAGAGACTAGATTTCTCTACAAGGTATATTAAGAGATGAAGAAAATTAAGTTTCCTAAATCTTGTGGTGTAATAATTATGTACCAAATCCAAAATGCTGCTCTTAGGTGTGGCAGCAGAAACTGTGTGTCTCTGAGAACAAAATTTGGCTGTTTGCATGTACCAGCCGCGGTGACAAGGGAGACAGCTTATGTCATTTCTAAGAAATACTGTATTTTTATGTTAATATACCACAGTTGCTAAAAAAAAAAAAAAAAAAAAAAAGCCTTGTGGTTCATGCTGTGTTCAGCGCTGTGTATGAGCAGTATCAGCAGAAGCTCAGGCCCAGGGCCTCCTATTTCCTTTTGTAGCTTCTCAGCTCTCTGAATCCCTACAGGCTGCATCTTTTCAGCCCTTCCATCCCTGAGCTCTTTCCTCCCATCAGCCTGAAGGATACTGGGGGATCTGAGGACTTGTACCTTCAGAAAGTACCGTTCCTGGCAGTATGTGGAATCTGAAGTGTGACTTATATGCATCAAAATGTGTATTGTTGATTTTTTTAAAAACTAATAGTTTTGTTTCAGAGATTCACTGAAGACAATGTAGTCATGCTGTTTTCAGCAGAATTTTCTTAAGCCCAGTGTGGGTTTCTCTGCATTGCTCATTATGCTTACGTTTTTTTAAAATGTTTGAAAGATTTTGTTAGAAAACTGTTTTCTTCCCAGTAGCATTGAGGGCCTGGGGGCAAAAATCACCTGTGGCATACACACATCCCATGTGTAATGCTCCATGGAATGTGCAACTCTTCCCAAATGCAGATCTGTTTTGTAGGGGTTTTTGATGTGTGATTCAGAGCTCCTTACATGACTAATGATGTTTTGAAAACTTTTTCTGTCAGAGTTGGTGTAGAATTGCAATCCCATTTTAGCAAATGTGGCAGTGACCTTTATTTTTATTTTAAGCCATTATTAATTTAACATCTGAAGTTGGTTTGTACAAAGGAAGGCTATTTGATAAGATTTTTTTTCCTTACAGCAAGTGTTCTGGGGTGTGTGTTTTTTCTTTGGTGGGCTTGCATCTTGGGAGTAGAGATTCCAGCTGAACAGATCAAGTTTCTGAAACAATACATTTTCTCAGACTTCATGGAATTGTTCTGTTACATTTACACTTGTTTGGCTCAGAGGCCAAATGCTGAGGTATTTTTCATTTTATATTTGTTTTCACAGGGATCTTAGCAACATCAATTGTGAAGAGCTTGGTCCACTGCCTCCTGGATGGGAGATCCGAAATACAGCAACAGGCAGAGTTTATTTTGTTGACCATAACAACAGGACAACGCAGTTTACAGACCCACGGCTATCTGCTAACTTGCATTTAGTCTTAAAGTAAGTCTGAAGTCTCCAGCACGTGTTGAATATGATAGAGGAAAGAAAGTGACTCTTGAGGTGTACTGGATTTTGTATTGCTGTTAAGTAGTACTGGAGGCATAATAGTGACATTCTGTAACACACTGCCAGCCTGCTCTGTTACGTAGCAAAGATGGTTTGATTGTTCTTGTATTTAAAACGAAACTGAAAAGAAGAAAAAGAAACAAACAACACTGCAGAACAAACCAAAAAGCAAAACAAACCAAAAAGCAAAACAAACAAATCCCTCTGGCAGCATATAGACAGGAACGTGGCTATCATGGTGCCAAGAGTGGGGGCCAGGAGGGAGGGAAGAAGCAAGTGCCTTCCCATGGAAAGGCTGGCCTGTGGAATTCTTTTCCAATGGTGAGAGACACTTTCTTTCCTTTTCTTTTTGCTTAGTACTACTTTCAGTGATGGAGTACTTGTTTTTTAAGAATATCAGATTGCATTCAATACCCAATTCAGGTAGGCAAGGGTATAGAAGTGCCCAGCTACTCCGCTCAGAGAAAAAGAAATAATTCAGCTTCTGCTTTAAGGTAAGAGTAGTTCAGATGTTCTCCAAGTAAAAGACCCAAAGAATTTAAATTGGATTTTTTACCACAAAAACAAAAAAGAAAAAAAACAAAAATAAATATTTTTTCTGCCTTAGTGCAGAGATTATGTATTCATATCACAGTTTTAGAAAGAGGAGGAAACTGAATGAGATTCTGGATTTTTTTTTTTTTATTCCCAAGCACTTGTTTGACACTGGGGAACTCTACTGAAAATGGAAACAAAAAAGCAAACAAACATTTCTGTTTTGCCTCTGCGTGGCTGTCAGTTTGTCCAAGCTCTCCAGGAATTTGACTCTTATTAACACCTTTTTTGGGAAACACCTGTAACATATTAAGTAGCTGTTGAACAGAGGGAATAATAAAGAGTTAGTTAGATAGAAAGTCATGTGCAGCCCTAGGCAAGGAAAAGTGTGAGGAATAGTCTTTTAAGGAAGAGAATCCTTAGGAAGAGAAGTTGAAGGAAACAATAATGGGAGCAAGCAAAGAGAATGAAGGAAAGAAATGTCTATGAAGTGCACATATCTTCTGTGTAATATACAAAAATTGGACAATCTGTCTTGCCCAATATCCATTTGAACTTAATAGCCAAAAAGGGAGAGGTGCCTAAATATTAAGTATTTCTTTGGGTAGAAAGTCATTGGTATACATCTGCATATTACAGAGCTTAAGTAGAAGTTCCCATCATCCAGACATTGAATTCAGATGTAGATATTTTACCCAAAGATAACTTCTGACCCTCTTAACTATAACAGTGTCATTCCTAAAGCACAGAAAGTTAGTTAACTGGACTTGATTTAAAACATGGTCCTTCACAGGTAGATTTATTTCCAATGGTAGCAGGGACACGTGGCTGGGTTAATGTGTTGTGAAGGACAATGTATAGCTTTTCGTCTAGAAAATCCACTTTGTCTTTTAAGTTCAAAAACTGCATTACATTTCTTTAAACTTAAGTACACTGTAGTAGTTCTTTCTCATTTGTACATCTGTCTTTCATTAGGAAAGGATTTCAGAAATCCAGCCAGTAGTGTCATCAGCAAAGCCTGATGCCTGATAAATCTTTTCTGGTGTTTATTCTTTTATTGCACCAAACAGGATATGTGAAAGCTTTTAAAATTGTTTTATTTAATTGTTAAGCCCACCTCATTTGTTATTTAAAAAAAAAAAAAAAAAGCAATATGTCTTTGGCCTGACATTTTTAATTATCTGAAAATAAGTTTAGTATTTGGGTGGGATGGGTGGAATAGTTTTATGTTCAAAGCTGTAATAAAAAATATGCTTTTAGTAATACTGAGTTTTCTGTCAAGCTGAGTAAAGGAGTTTATTCTTCCAGTGATGGCATTACAAGTTATGAAAATAATCAAACTTGTTATCCAGTTCTGTTTTTAAAATGTTAACCAAGAGTTCGTGATAGGTTTTGATAGTTATGGTACCTGAAAAGTACTTAGCTGTATCCTCAAAGTACTGCACACAATCAAGCATACTCATTCAGCTGTGAAAACAAACGAAGAAATTACATTTAATTACTTCAAGCACTGTGGATTATTTAGCTAATGCTACACTGATTATTTTTAGCCTTATACAGAGAATGGCACTTTATTTTTTTCTTCAACGTTCTGCTTTATTTTAGATTGGTTTAATTTGTTGCATACATCTTGAACTCATGCTTATTTCAGAGATTGCATTTTCTTTAACACTAACTAGTTCCATGTCTGTGCTTTTATTCTATGAAATGTAGTACCACTGTACCCTCACTTTAGTATTTATTGTTGCCCCTTCTGGTAGGTCTATACAAGGAATATTTTCATAAGATTGTTCTTCCAGAATTTGAAAAAGCATAAGATAGAATAGTTTGGCTTTAATTTGTTTATCAATTAAATACAATTTGAGATTCATATTTAGAACTAATAATGAGTACAAAAATATCATGCATGTAGCACAAATGACACAACTGTATTCTGGAGCCACATTGAGTGTCTTTGTAAGTTGTTGTAATGACTTGATTTCTTGGGATTGACTTTTAAAATAACTGTTGTTTATACTGTAATAATGTGATTAGCTTAGGAATAAAGCTAAGGTTGCCTTAATTTAAGGACGGTCAAGACAACACTGAATCTCACAAGCTCAGTTAAGCTGATTTCCAAAGTATTGCATCTTAGGGCATTGTGACAGAATTGGATTGCTGTGCATTATTCTCTTCTATAGCCCAGATGTAAAAAGATAATATTATTAATAATAAAATAGCTTTCAGCTCTTGCTGAGCTGGTCTGAATGTGTGTCATTGCAGGGGTTTCTGAATGCCAGGTTTGTAAGACTACTGATCTCCATGATCCCAGTAAACTGGTGTCAGTTTCCCCTGAACATGGTTCATGCAAATTAACTTTAAATAAAAGGTTTGAAAATAACAGAATAGCTGTCAGAACCACGGGGCAAACTGGGAACACTCCCACTTCTTTTTTTAATTGCCAAAAATGAATGTTGTGGTGGTGAAAGCCTGCTGGAAATGAAATTTTGTTGGTCAAGGGAGCTTTCTCAGTAGACTTTGTTTCAAAACAGGCAATAGACTGAAATTTTAAAATATATTGAAGTTGTGTGGTGGTTCTATCTCATATGTTTGGTCTTTGATGTTGAAAAAAAACTATTAACATTCCATTGGAAAAAAAAAATTTGAATTGTGACCTTTCCTATTTATCCAATAAATTTAGGGTATTATCACATGTCCTGCACAGAGGCTTTTCAAGTTTTAGGGAAAATACAGCTTTTGTCCTCTTGTTTGGAAATGCCATACCTAAAAGCTTGGTCATACAAAAACACCTACTTGAGAAGTGACACGAGGAAGGACATCTCTGCTCAAAATTGACTTTGTCCAATAAGAAGATAGATTCACAAAATCTCTTAGAATTGCTAGTAAAAATACTTGCTTATCTGTGCCAGTTAGTTACATGTGAGCTCCCCACATTCCTGTGGTCCAGACTAGGCCAGGTACAAGGGACAAGGTCCTTGCCAAGCTGCCAGTACAAACATCTTTTTGTAAGCTTACTCGTTTTCATACAAGCCATTTAAAACAGACTATGGTATTGAGTGTAGATTAGAGGCATAGTGTTTGGCTGATCCCTGAATTTTAAATTGAAGGAAGGCAAAACACGCAAAGGAAATATGGAAATGGTACCTGAGAAATTCAGTGTCAGCAGCTTAGTAGTAAAACTGTACGGTTAATACCTTATTATATCGTGCTGTAACCTTTTACATACTTTGTAGAGTAGTACTAATAGAAATAACAAACTCTAAAAACAACCGATAGTTGCCAAGAAAGACAGAAGCATATGTCTTTAGTCAGGATAAAAGCTCTCTGAATTTGCTTCTCTCTAGGCCTGAATGTTGTTAGTGTAATCACAGTGATCACAGTAAATCGAAAGTACGTTAGTTACTAAGACTGAACCTTTAAGAAACACACAAAGAAAACAGGAGACGTATGACTTGAACATCTGCAAACAGCTGTGTTTGTTTCTAGCCGCCAGAATCAACTTAAAGATCAGCAGCACCAGCAGCAGCAGCAGGTAGTGTCCCTGTGTCAGCTTCCAGATGAGGCAGAGTGTCTGACTGTGCCAAGGTACAAACGAGACCTGGTGCAGAAACTCAAGATCCTGAGGCAAGAGCTGTCACAGCAGCAACCTCAAGCTGGCCATTGTCGTATTGAGGTCTCCAGGGAAGAGATTTTTGAGGTAATTTGAGAACTTGACGCATTTGTTAATATTGAGGGAAGGGGAGGAGGGTTATCCGTGACGGTCTGAAGAATTCATTCGGTTCGACAAAATGTTGAAGTTAAAGCAGAGATTTTGCCAGTGGTGAATGGGGAGAGGAAGCATTTTAGGGGGATATTCAGAACAATTGTGTATGTAAAATAGATGTGTTTACCACATGGAGAAGAAGAAAAAGGAGAAAAGTTTCCCTGTGGTTAGAGATGTGCAGACTGTCTCAGGGACTGAGGAAAGAGTCCAAGCACTTCATCTATTTGAAGATGCTGTTTCACTTCTTTCTTGTAGGAAAGCCTCTCTTAACAGAGAGAATGGTGCACATTAAACCATCAAAAATGACCTTTGATGTATTTGTAACTTCAGTAAAGAGACTGTTATTGAATAGCATTTATCTTTGGGTCAGGATTACTTATCAGCCAGAACTGAGAGAGGTGCAGTATTTTTCCAAAACAGATCAGTTGTATGAATTCTGTAGGCATCTGAGTGACTGGAAGTTCCCTTGTTGGGATACTTACATCTTTGAGATTGTTCAGCAGAATAATTGATGAAACACAGTTATAATTCATTGGCTTTTCTAGAGAACAGTCTGTCTCAAGAACTTTATCACCCATCCCACCCATCCCTGTTGTGTTTTTACTCCACCCGCAAACATGATAGCCCCACTGTGTTGTCACTGTTTATCCAGCCAAGAAATATTTGTGTTGGTATTCCCTTTGGAGACAGTTCAGATCACTTCATAATAAACTGAAAAAGAAAGGCTCTGTAAAGCAGTGGAAATTATTATATTCTTCTTCTGAAGTGTCCCAGGCATGCCTGCCTCTTCTCTTCCCCAAAACCAAAGACTGGGGGCATCATTACTGGACATAAATAAAACCTTTGATTTAATTCTTTTTTAAAATCAGCATTTGGGTTGCCTCTCTTTAGCATTCTTTTTCTGTTGTTTTGGTGAAGTCTTACTGATAGAGGAATAATTCCATAGATTTACTGGGATGGCATTGGTGCTTAAGTTGCTTAAGCATCTTAAGATGCTTTGTGGAGGTTTGCACATCTTCTAGTCAGTAGAAGTTCCACTGTTGGCTTTTCACACAACAGAAATGAGAACAAAAACAGAAGTTTACTGACAAGGGTTTTTTTGTGTGTGAGGGTGAGTTATGTGAAAATGAGAAAAGGAAATATTACAATCACTCTGCACCCCTAAAGCTTAGAGGCAATTGTTCTTGCATATCTTTTACTTGACAAGCATTATCACATTTATAGAAAACTATGCAACAGCTTGTTAGTATGCAGAAAAATAATATCCCCTTGGGACTTAGATTCTGAGACTCCATTTCTATTAAGCATTAGTAGGTGCTTCTCTGTAAACAGCAGTTAATAAAAGAATCTGTTGTGCATTTACAGGAATCCTACAGGCAAGTCATGAAGATGAGGCCAAAAGATCTTTGGAAACGATTAATGATAAAGTTCCGTGGGGAGGAAGGCCTTGATTATGGAGGTGTTGCCAGGTAAACAGTGCATCCTCCATCCCTTTCCCCAGCCCCACCAGCTGCACTGCTTTGATTCCTAAACCAGACTGACAGCAGTCTTTTTCTTTTAAAATTATTCTTGTTTCTGTGCATTCCAGTAATGTTATATGTCAGAAGAGTATATATTTTTCAGATAGTGTTTTCAAGGAAAAAAACATCTAAAAAAAGAGAATTTCTTGTAAATAAATAAAAATCACAGATGGCATCAGAGACACCTTTGGTATTGATTGGTAAAGCTTGGGTATTTGGGAATGTATGTACACCACTAAACACTCAACTTGGTGGCAGAATCATAATCAGTAACCCTTAGAAAGTGGTAACTTGAAGGAAAATCTTGGCAGACTGGGAAATATGCCAAGCTGACACATGCTGTGCAGTTATTGAACCAGTAAAAATAATTCTGATTTCTGCATGTGCATAGCTAAGTGTCCTTTGAAAAGATTGAAAAGATTCTCAGTATGCAAATTAGTTTATCTAAGGTTACCAGTAAATTTTTTTATTTTTTTTTATTATTATTTTTTTTCTTCAGGGAGTGGCTCTACCTGTTGTCACACGAAATGTTGAATCCATATTATGGTCTCTTCCAATATTCCCGAGATGATATCTACACACTGCAAATCAACCCAGATTCTGCAGTTAACCCGGTATGACTGATTATATGAGTTAAGAAAAATGATGCTTTTGTGACCCAGAAATTAGGTACACGTGGAGAATAATGCTCTAGATTTAATAATCTAGTTCTCACATTAGTATTGCTAGAGACTGAATTTATGAAATAACATAATTTCTTTTTAGTGTGGATCAAAGAAACGTTTCAAATGTTCTTAATATCCTGGAAGATGTTGGTTTATGTTTCCTTTGGGAGAAATGGAGTTTGTTTTAATTCTTAACAGTAAGACTTCTAGACTTGAAACAACAAACTCAGTGTGCTGGATATAAAAACAAAATAAAAAAAGAAACCAAACAGCTCTGGCTGTTTGTTGGGTGGTGGTGGTGGTGGTGGTGTTGTTTTTAAGTTGTATTGAAATTTAATTAAATGTTCAGCAGATACAATCTAGGAGTTGTATTTAGGTGGATCACTGAGTCTTTTCCTTCAATTCCAGGAACACTTATCATATTTCCATTTTGTTGGACGGATAATGGGGATGGCTGTGTTTCATGGACACTATATTGATGGTGGCTTCACATTGCCTTTCTATAAGCAGTTGCTAGGG